AGGTCATAGGGAAATGCAAATTAGTACAATGAGATACTCCTACACACCTATTAGAAGGGCAAAAATCCAGAACACTGACAAGTCCAAATGCTGACTAGGGTGTGGATCAACAGCAACTCTCATTCATAGCCGGGAATGCAGAATGGTACAGACACTTTGTAAGAAGAGTCTGGCAGTCTCTTACACAACTAAACATACTCTGACTATGTAATCCAGCAATTGTGCTCCTTGGTATTTACCTACGTTAGCCGAAAACATGTCCACACAAAAACCTGTGCATGGATGTTTATAATCGGGTTTATTCATAACTGCCCACACTTGGAAGGAACCAAGATGTCCTTCAGCGGAAGAGTAGATAAATAAACTGTGATACGTCCAGATAATGGAGTATTAGTCTGCACCAAAAGGAAATGAGCTACAAGCCATAAAAAGACAAGGACAAACCTTAAATGCATATTGCTAAGTGAAAGAAGCCAATCTGAAAAGGCTACATAGAGAATGATTCCAGTTATATTAGACATTCTGGAAAAGGCAAAACTATGGAGCCAGCAAGCAGGTCAGTGGCTGCCAGGGGCTAGGGGGAGGGAAGGATGAACAGGCAGAGCACAGAAGAGTTCTAAGGCCGTGAACCGATTCAGTATGATCCCATAATGGTGGATATATGTCCTCATACATTTGTCCAAACCCACAGAATATATAACACCAAGAGTGAACCCCAATATAAAACTATATATTTGGAGTGATAATGATGTGTCAACATAGGTCCTTCGATTGTCACCAATGGACCACTCTGATGCAGGTGCAGAGCACTGAAAGGGCCTGGGGGCTAGCTATGTGTGGGGTGAGGGTGGAGGGGTATATGGGAACTTTCTGCACTTTCAGCTTAACTTTGCAGTGAACCTACAATTGATCTACAAAATACAGTCTATTAAAAAAAAAAAACCCTGAGGGGGCGGAAATCCTAAATGCTAATAGTAATTGCCTGCAGATGATAAGGTTATCAACAGGTCTTTCTGCACCTTCAACGTTTTCTCCTTCGCTCCTAGCCTGGGCTCACGCCGTTCTCTTGGCCTCCGACACTCTTCCCCTCCCATGCCCTGGGGAGTAGTATCTACTTATCCCTTAAGATTGAGTTTAGCTGGAATTTTCTCTGCGATGTCTTCCCTGACCTTGTCTGTGCTCCTCAGAGCCTGGATCTCCACCAATGGGCACACATTCCATGGTCTTACAATTGTCCCTTACCCCGTCTGTCTGCCCTTCAAGATGTGAGTGGTTGGGGGGAAGTCTGTCTTAGTCCTGTTGCATTCCCAGCGCCTCGTACAGCAGGTAGTACAGTCAATTCATGAAATTTGTTGAATATATGAATATGAATTAAATCAGGAGAAGTGTAGAGAAAAACAAAATACGCAGTACAAATCTCAGGGTTAAAGAACTGAAACAGTACGGTGCAAGTGGGGAATGTGGACACCCCAATAGTTGTGGGGGTCCTGGAAGCAGATGGAGGCTGAGAAAGGAACAGACCCATATGCTCAGGGGCAGTGTCAGGAGTGGTATGTTGAAATGCAGATCAGGACAGGGCAAAATGGATGGCCTTGATGGGTCCCCACGACTGGCATGGTATGAGAGTGCAGGTCAGAATTAATAAGCCCATCGTGGAAAGAGGACCTGACTTCGGCTTCATTGGTGAGGGCCTCTCTTGTGTGAGCCAGTGGGTCCAGCAATGTCCATAATCCTCCCAGCACCAATCACTGCCAACAATCCATCAATACCTCTGCAAACACTTGAAACACTTGCTTAAGATTTCCTCCTAGGGAACCATTCCCTGTGCATGTGTTTGTTTGTTCCCTGATGGGGAGTTGAGCTGGGGAGAATACCGTCAATGAGATCATACCATAGCCTTTCCTTTCTGTACCTCATCATTCCAGGGAGTCCATCATCATTCAGGTAAGGACAATAACCCTTTCCATTACTACATATCCTGTTTTTCTGCAACACCAACACTATTTGAAAGTGGGGAAGAGAAGGAGAAAAGGAGTAGAAAAAAACCAAATGAACAAAGGCCTCTCTTGTTTCTTCTAATAAACAATCTCCCATCCGGGCAGTGTAATCTGGAGGCAAGTCTGCTCCCCTATACCCTCATCGCTCTCTCCCACTAGAGCAAAAACACCTCTATGTCCTCCTAATCCTCAAGCAAAGCTCACACATTTGAAGAGCTTTTGGACACCCCTGGAAAACTCTGTAGCGCTCTATTTGCAGGCAAGGCCAGGATTATTCTGGGGTCAGCATCAGCCTCCAGTCTAGTCCCCAGTGCTGCCTGCACAAAGCTGGGGATCTTATTTCAAGCATTCATCTACTCCAATTTTGTCTCCTACCCGAGGTCTCAACCCTTAGCTGAATTACAATTAGTTGCCCTGAGGAGCCTGGAGGAGACTCATTTCAGAGGAAAATGCCTTCTGCTGAGCAACACCAATCTAGCCTGTAGTTAGCATCTGTAAATTTCAACTCTGAGAACTGCCTCTGCTCACATGGCCCAGAGAAATCTTTTATGATGGCCCATATTTGCTGTACTTTGGACAGGCCTCTCCATAGTTCTGAAATTGTTTCTCCCAAATCTCATTTTTAAAACAATCACTGCTAAGCTTTCTTCCAAAGCTGCCTTAAGAATTTCTTCTTGAAACTAGAATAATGATTGCTTTTCTGAAAAATGCAGGTTGTGAAATCTGACAGCTACTGTGCAGGATTGAGGGGCATGACGTAGGAGTTGGGTCTCTGGGTTGCACGCCTGATTCATTGAGAAAAAGGGGCAACAATTAGGGGCCTGAGGTGTCATTCGCATCTGGGAAATGGGATAGTATCTGTTCTCTTCCCTATCTTATTAGGGTCTGGCAATGGCACCACATTGGATCAATATTTTTGCTCTCTGGAGAAACAGATATGCTAGGAAAATGTCATTCTTATGAAATCTGCCTCTTCTTTCTCAAGACTGCCATATTCTTTTATTATTGGGGGGTGGGTGCATCATGTTATTTTTATCACTGAGGAAACTGGGATATTAGAAGTACAAACCATTATAGTCCAGGATTGGATGTTTTTGATGATGAGCTCTTTATAGCAGGAACTCTGCTCTTTAATACAATGGAAAAGTAATTTATTGAGAAGTGTCCTTGGGGACAGAAAAGAGAATTGCACTTCTGCTGATGTTTCTCATAACCAGCTGAGATGAGGAGGGACAGGCTGCCCCAGGAGCCCAGAGACGGGCTTCTCGTCCCTCCTCTGTAACCAGCCAGCTGTGTGCTCTAGTTAAGCCTGTCCACTGCTCCAGGCCTCGGGTTTTCCACCTGTAAAAGGAGCAGGCTAAGTGATATCTGTGATTATCACGCATTTTTAAGCAGTGCAGCTGCTCTTAGTGAATACCTTTTCAGAAACCAAATATAGACCATGCCAGGAGAGGGAGCTGAACACCCGCCAACACCCCCCCCCCCCGCCCCCGCACCGGCGAGGTTTACCCTCTTGCTCACAGTGTTCTGTGAGGCATCCCTGGGCTCTTACTGCTCTGAGATACACACTGGAAGCCAGCAGCCTAGATGGTCTTACAATTCTTTTCTAATTGAGCAGGGAGAAACACTCGTTTCTAATCCAGCAGATGTGTGGTTTATTCTACCTCTGGTGGACTCATGCCCCATGACACTCAGAGAGGGACCCTACCAAGTGGTGTAGGGTCAACCCCCAGGACAGCTGATGCTTCAGAACACAGGTGACAGGGACCTGAGGCTGAGCACAAAACACAGGCTAGCACCGGCCATGGAAGGAACGTCTGTGTCTTCCCCAGCCACGGCTGTCTCAGTGGCTGAAGATGACCCTGCTGCTCATGTGGCTGCGCGCACGCGCGCGCGCGTGTGTGTGTCTGCCACGTATTTCCTTCCTTCCTCTCTCCTTGTTCATTTGTTCACTAAGTCACACACAGTTATGGATCCCCTGCTCTAGACCACGAATGATCTAGTGAGGAGGACTGACAACAAACAGGCCAACCAACAGCCACACAACTACGCAACAACACACGAAGAAGAGTGAGCAGGGCTGGTGGTGCATCTAACGGAAGATGGTGTGAGGAGCCAGACAGGGGAAGAGGCCAGAGGATGTGTGGGCAGAGGGAGCAGCGGGGGAAGATCCTGAGGCAGGATAGAACCTGGCCTGCTCGAGGAGAGAGGGCCCTGCTCTGGTTGGTACCTCGATGGCAAGAGTAGATGAGCACAGCCCTGCCTACCGTGGCCGTCGGGTTCAACCACGGCCGCGAGCCCGCTCAGAGCAGGCAAGCTGTAGCTCAGTCTTCTCAGCAGTAGAATGGTGTGGCAGACACTGGAGAAAGGCTCACTCAACACCTTCTCTAATGCACGTCTCCCTTTCCTACCTCTCTTCAAGAGGCCCCAAATCAAAACACTTCCATTTCTAGCCATCCTGGCAGATAGGGATGCCTGGATGTCAGAGTTCTGGCCAAAAGTCTTTCCTGAATAAGAAGGCAAAATCTTGAAAAAGGGAGGCTTTGTTCTCTTTACCCTTCCTCCTTCTCCCTGTCTGAAAGGCAGACTTCCCAGAGGTACAGCAGCCATTTTGTGACCATGAGGATGAGGAAGCAGGAACAGAGAAGGCTGGTGCTTTGATGATAGCCTGAGGCAGCTGTACCAATCCTGGATCCTATTAGAAATGAATGAATGAATGAGCCCCCTTACTTGTTTGAGCCATTGTTTATCGAGTTTTCTGTTATTTGCAGTTTAGTGCACTTCTACATCGATACAAACAGGATAAAAACAGAATGTACTTCATGGGATGTTGTGAGAACTAAATGAGATACTGTGTATAGGGCCAGGGTCACGGCCAGGCACACAGCAAGCATCAGTAAACAGTGGCCCACCTGTTGGTGCTGCTGAAGAAAACCTGCCACCCTTTTGACCAGTCACTGAATGGAGTGTGGGGGGCAGGAAGCTGGGTGGGGTGGGCCCTACCTCGATCGCTGAAGTCATCAACCAGCACAATCTCGGCGATCAGCTCCGGGGGCGAGCGGTTCAGCACGCTGTGGACGGTGCGGAGGAGGGAGGACCAGCCCTCGTTGTGGAAGGGGATGATGATGCTGGTGTTGGGGAGTGTCTCCAGGTAGCGTTTGCCATTGCAGCTAGGGGAAGACACAGGGGACAGGAGACGATAGGTTCAGCTCTCATCTCGCCAAGAGAACTCCACAAGCACACGGTTTGGCTAACTGCAAATGCCACACCTTTCTAGCCTTCTGGGAACGAGTGAAAGCCAGGGACACCTCAGTCACTTTAGAACCTCCTTCCACTCAGCACCCCGAAGTCCTGTCTCCAATTCCTACACACACAGTGGACAGCCCCTGACTCTGTATAAGAGCAGTTATAAACCCACGACAAGAAGCCCCTGACTCTGTATAAGAGCAGTTATAAACCCATGACAGCAGCCCTGGGGTTGGGTGCCCTCCCTCGCTACAGGAACATGGTTCCCCATCCTCATGATTCCACGTGGAAGACAGCCCTTCAGTAACGCTCTGGCCTCTCTCCTCACCCCTCGCACACTCCTCACCCATGGAGGAGAAACCATTTATGCCCGAGTTTGGAAGAATCAACTGGGCTTCCCTGGCCCAGCCCCCTCCGCTCTCCCTCCCTGGGCTCTACTGGCGGAGGGCACGTTTTCACTTCTGCTCAGTCCCATGGTAAGCTTGGGGGTGGAAGGCCCTGCCCCTGTGGGCCTTTAATATCATTGTAACACCCAAGAGAATTAACATAGTTCCTTAATACCATCAGATATCTAGTTGGTGTTCAAGTTTCCTTGATCTGCTATCTTTTTACAGTTGTTTAAATCAGGATCAAGACCACATGCTGCCTTTAGCTGATGCACCTTCTAAGTCTCTCTTTTCCTTACAATTTGTTTGTTGAAGAAACTGGGTCATTTGAGCTGTCGAATCTCCTACAGGCTGCATTTTGCTGCTTGCATTGCTGTAGTGTCTCTGAATACCTTCCTCTGTCCACCCCTTCTTGGCTCCTGTAAATTGGCAACTAGGTCTAGAGGCTTGGCCTAATTCAGTGAGATATTCTGGCAACCTCTTTATAGTGGTGTGAGCCTCCTATAGGAAACACATACTCTTCAGTGGTCTTTCCTTTTGTGATGTTGGTGGCCACTGATGATCAATGCCTAAATCCTTCAGTTCATCAGGGGTTTTCAAAATGGTGCCCCAAGACATGACACATTCTTGATTGTCAGTTTTCAGAATGACTTGGTTCCGTACCATGTTCCAAAGATGGCCAATTATTTGTTTTCATTATGAACTCATAAATTTTCACATAATCAATGTTTCAGTTCAGTGCAAATATTATTATTCTTATTCGTTCCCAAATAATACCATCTCGAGTCCAAGAGAGTCTTCTCAAGTTGGCTCCTAGCCTTTGGATATGACCACAGAGTATTGATAAAAGATTACAAAAGATTCTCCATGCTTAACTTGTACATTTTCTGCCCTAACCTGGATCAGCCATTCTGCCAAGGAACCCCGGCTCCAGATTATCATCGAGATCTCCATTTGGATACTGCAATACGGGTGCTAAGGGCATTCATTACTCCTGGGTTGGTTATGGTTTCTATGCCTTTACAGTCGTCAGAGCTAGAAATGCTTTATTTTATTTTATTTATTTTTAAAAGATTTTATTTATTTGAGAGAAAGAGAGAGCACAAGAGGGGGGAGGGGCCGGGAGCTAAGCAAACTCCCCGCTAAGCAGGGAGCCCGATATGGGGCTCAATCCCAGGACCCTGAGATCATGACCTGAGCTGAAAGCAGACCCTTAACTGACTGAGCCACCCAGGTGCCCCAGAGCTAGAAATATATTTCAATGCATGCATCATGAGTTCATGCTGAAGTTTAATATTTCATAGATAGGACTACAGAGTTTTACTGAACCTTAATTTTATATTGCATATCCTTTTAATTGAGATATGATTTATATACCGTAAAATTCAACATAAGATGCACCCCTTTAAAGTGTATAATTCAGTAGTTTTTAATATACTCATAAAGTTGTACAACCAACACCACTATCTAATTCCAGAACATTGTCATTGCCCCTAAAATAAACTTCATATCCATTAGTAGTCACTCCCCCTTATCCCTCCCCTCAGTCCTTAGTAACTACTAATTTGCTTTCTGTTTCCATTGGTTTTCCTATCCTGCACATTTTATGTAAATGGAATCATATAATATGTAGCCTTTTCTGTCTGGCTTCTTTCAATGAGTATCTCTTTAAGGTTCATCCATGTTGTAGCATGTATCAGGATTTCATTCTTTTTATGGCTGAATAATATTCCAATGTATGGATATACCATATTTTATCTATGTATTCATCAATTGATTGACATTTGAGTTGTTTCTACCTTTTGGCTATTATGAATAATGCTGGTACAAACATTCATGTTTAAGTTTTTGTGTAGACATGTTTTTAGTTCTCTTGGGTATATATACCAAGGAGTAGAACTGCTGGGGCATATGATAACTCCATATTTAACTCTTTGAAGAACAGCCAAACTGTTTTCCAAAGTGGCAAGAACATTTTACACTCCCACTAGCAACCTATGAGGGTTCCAAATTCCCCACATGTTGACCAACTCTTGTTATCATCCATCCTTTTGATTATAGCCATCCTAGTGGGTGTGAGGTGGTATCTCATTTGGTTTGATTTGCATTTTCCTAATGACTAATAATGTTGAGTATATTTTCAAATACTTAATGGCCATTTGTATATCTTCTCTGGAGAAATGTCTAGTAAATATGGATTTCCCTTTTAGATTGTTCTTACTAATGTATAGAAATGTGATTGATTTTTGTATATTGAACTTGTATCCTGCAACTTGCTGAACTCGCTTATTAGTTCTAATTTTGTGTATGTATGTATTCCTCAGGATTTTCTATATATAAGACAATGTCATGAGCAAATAGAGAGTTTCACTTTTTCCAAGCTAGATGCCTTTTATTTCTTTTTCTTGTCTAATTGCTTTGGCTAGAAACTCCAGTATAATGTTGAATAGAAGTGGCAAGAGCAGACACCCTTATTTTGTTCCTGGTCTTAGAAGGAAACGCTTGCAATCTTTCATCAACAAATATAATGTTAATGTTGGTTGTTCATAGATGTTCTTTATCAACTTGCTGAAGTTCCCTTATATTCCTCCTTTGTTGAATGTTTTTATAATGGAAAAGTGTTGGATTTTGTCAAATGCTTTTTCTGCATCTACTGGAATGATCATATGGGTTTTGTTCCTCTATTCTATTAATAAAGTGTATTATATTGATTGATTTCCATATGTTGAACCAACCTTGCCTTCCTAGGATAAACCCTACTTGGTCATGGTGTATAATCCTTCTTATATATTGCTGAATTTGGTTTGCTAGTATTTTGTTGAGGATTTCTGCATCTACATTCAAAATGGATATTGGTCTATAGTTTTCTTGTGATGTCTTTGTCTGGTTTTATCTATTTTATCTCTTTCGCTAAAAATCTAGGTTCTTAACATTGTTACTTATTTGTTTTTTCCTATAATATATATAATTGCTTCAGAAAAGCAATTCCAATATCATTGCTAACAATCTGATTTTATAAAATTTGAGATTCCTTTTGTCCTTCACTTCTTTTTGTCTGTGGGGTATATTTCATTAGCGATATTAAGGATTTTCCCAGGGCCCAGAAGATAGGATCTGAGGACCAGGCAGGCCCAGGGGGAATGTCAAAACTGTCTACTTTGTCTCCAGTCAGAAGCCTGGTATGGTAGGCAGAGTAGCAGCCCAAAGATATCTAAGCCTTAATCCCCAGAAGCTATGAATATGTTATCTTACATGGCAAAGGGACTTTGCAAATGTCATTAAGGTTAAGAACCTTGAGATGAGTTTGAGAAGCCTGGATTACCCAAGTAGGTCCAATGTAACTACAAGTGTCCTTAAAGGTAGAGAACCTTTCTGGCTGGCTCAGAGAGATGAGAAGGAGGGAGTAGAGAAGAGAAGTGTGAGAGGGACTCAACTCACTATTGCTGGCTTTGAAGATGGAGGAAGGGGGTCATAAGCCAAGGAAAGTGGGCGGCTTTTAGAATCTGGGAATGATCCTCAGTTGATGGCCAACAGGAAAACAGAGTTTCAATTTTCATAACCAGTCTGCCAATAACCCAGATAAGCAAGATTCCCCAGGGCCCTCAGAAGGGAATGAAGCCTGGCCAACACCTCGATTTAAGCCCATGTTGGACTTCTGACTTGCGGAACTGTTAAGAATAACTTCGTGTTGTTTAAACTGCTAAGTTTATGGTAATCTGCCAAGGCAGCTGCAGAAAACTCATACACAAAAGTCATCTTTGATACCCTTTGCCCAGTCTGTAAACATTATTTGCAAACACTTCAAAAGTAGAAGATTTCACAAAAAATTCTCATGAGTCTCACATGGCAGCAGTGGGTTGGAGTTGACAGTGGACACCCCTCTCCATGGAACAGGCGCTCTCTGGGTCCCCTCAGCCTTACACCAGAGTTGTTTCACTCCCTTACATTGCCTCCTAGGCCCCTGGAGACCTTTGAAACTGACAGCCCACAAGTAAAAGGCATCGTGGGAGGGAGCTAGCTCCACAAGACTGGTTAAGAAGTTTTTTGGAGAAAATGTGGAACAACAAATGTAACAACAAAATGTCTCCTTTTGTATGCCGCTGCAATCCACTGTTCAACTGCCAAAATGCATCAGGGGCTCTCTGCAACCTACTTTGAAACATCTCAAAAAATAAAATAGATTGACAGATGGAGAGAGGGATGGACAGATACGTGATAAAACGGGGAGAGAAATGCTAACTGCAGAATCTAGGTGGTGGGAACATGAGCGCTCAATGTGCAATTCTTTAAAAACTTCTCTGTATGTTTGATAATTTTCAGAAAGAAACATTAGGGAGAAATGGGTCAGGGTCCCCAGTCTCCTTAGTTTCAAATTCTACCTCTGCTAGAGGCACCAAGGGAAGCTGGGGGTGGGTGGCAGGGACAGGAATGAACCCTTGGTGTCCGGCAGTGAGCTCAGTTCCAACTGTGTGGACAGGAACCCCCCTTGCCCCCGGCCAAATTCTGCCAGTCCAGTTCTGCTGGACAAGTCAGTCTCT